CCCTTTATTTCCTCATCCATTTTACCTTATTGCCCTTATTTATTTCCTAACCCAATTTAAGCTATTGGAGATCTATTCATCAGTTTAACAGACCGGCTGGGAGCCCTAACCCTAACATTCCATTCGTGTAGAACCCTCACCCTCACATAGTTTACTCTTGTTATTGTTCTTCTTATTGGTGGTTGATGTGTTTCTGTGAATTGAGTTTAGTAATTTGGTAAGTACTCTTTCTCTCTCACACACACACACAAACACACACACACGCACACCCCCGTTTTGGGTGGATCTTCCCCGATAAATCGGACTATTTTGCATATCCAAAGAAAATTATGTGATCAATATATTTATTTTGGTAGAACAAATCTAGGGTTTGTATTTTATATTGAAGGCTTTAGATGAGAATGGAATGAATTAATTGATTGTGTACTTGAACTTTGAATGTCGTAGATTTTTTTTTTTGGTAATGAGCATGCCGAAATTTCTCTCACTTTTCAATGTTTCTGTAGCTATAAAATTACCCACATGTTTTTTTTCCTTTTATTTGTTCCATTGGGTTAAGTGATGTTTTATATTAGTACTCCCATCATTTTTTGATGATCTTCTCATGAATTAGTTATATTCTTAGTATTGGAAACAACTTTTGTATATATATACACACACAAAATACTCATATATGTATAATTTTAAACTCACAGCTTTAGTAATCTGGTGCATTTCCTAAGCATAATACTTATCCCTCTGCCACCAACAAAGGGTCAAACAGAATTCAAAATCCAAATTCGCAAAGCTCACAGCTTTAGTAATCTGGTGCAGTCCCCAAGCATAATACTCATCCCTCTGCCACCAACAAAGGGTCAAACAGAATTCAAAATCCAAATCCTTGCGAACTTAAAATTTAAGGAATCACAACAGATTTCTGTGAAAGATATACTACGAGAAATCAAAGGGAAATGAAGACCAAAAACCAAATAAACACCCTAGAAGAGGAAATGCATTACCCAAACAGCACACTTTTTTAGTTGAATTATTCCCATAAAAAAGTCATATGCAATCAAACACTTGGGAAGTTCCCAAACAATGTCATTCTATACAAATGGACTATAATAAATTATCATATACAGAATCATATGTAGCGAAAAAGATTTGAGTAAAAATGTAACGAGCACAATGCATCATTGAAATAAGCAAGGAAAAATGCATCTAGAATGACAGATTTATATACCTTTGTACCTTCTAATCCCAATTCCTTCATCTTTTCTGACAGTGGCATAACAGGCTCAGTGACAATGTAGATATTATTAACCTTTGTAGAAGAACCATCAAAAGTTTCAGTCTCTATACTATGAATAAATGACAAAATATTCGGATGCCTAACCTGAAAGAAGCAAAAACAACGGGTGATGCAACCAAATTAAGAATCAAAATAATTTAAATGAAAATCTAGGACATTCAAAGTTTAAACACGCAATCAATTACCAATTAAGCGTCCAAATTGAACCGACCCACAAATAAACACATGCAATCTTGGATTGCAGGTGCAAAATACTCAGATATCGTGGGTACCAATCCAATCACATTATCTATATATAACTACAACTACTTTAATTACTCTATAAAACCCTGTCCAGGACTCAGATGATTTGAGATTGAAGGTGAATTCAACAAGAACCAATTACAATATACGACGACCCAGATGATTTGAGATTGAATTTTGTTTTTTAAAAAGGGACCTGCTGATATAAATGTCATCTGATAAAATAGGCAAATACATGAATTTTTTTAGAAATATTACCGCTTTAATCTTGTATATCCATTAGCAGAACAATAAGAAAAAAGGGAGTTAAATAGTAATTTTTCAAAATCAATTAAGTTAATCCATCATCAAGTCTAACTTAAATTTACCAATTTCACTTCTACATATTACATGTCCAAAATATTCACTTTGAAAACTGTTAGCTTATACAGGCACTATCAAAACACTTGGGAGTACTCGTATATTCCTAATTCATTAATTCAATACTCATTCCTCAGAATTAATGCGAATAAGCGGGTTAATGATAGACAAAACACACTTATAGGAAACATATATAAAACATCAATTAACCCAATAGAACAGATAAAAAGAAAAAAAAATATGTGAGTAAGTATATATCTACATAAACATTCACGTGAAGTAAAAAAAAATTACGACATTTAAAGTTCAAACACACAATCAATTAATTCATTTCACTCTCATTTAAAGCCTTCAATATAAAATACAAACCCTAGATTCGTTCTACCAAAAGAAATTTATAGATCACGCAATTTTTTTTGGATATGCAAAATACTCCAATTTATCAGGGGAGATCCACCCAAAACAGGTGTGTGTGTGTAAGAGAGAGAGAGAGAGAAAGAGAGAGAGTACTTACCAAATTACTAAGCTCATTTCACAGAAGCACATCGACTACCAATAAGAAGAACAACAACAAGAGTAAACTATGTGAGGGTGAGGGCTTTGCACAAATCGAATGTTAGGGTTAGGGTTCCCAGCCGGTCTGTTAAACTATCGAATGGATCTCCAATAGCTTAAATTGGGTTAGGAAATAAATAAGGACAATAAGGTAAAATGGATGAGGAAATAAAGGGTAATAAGGTAAATGTACTCAATATTGAAAAGGGCATTTTAGGCAACACAAATTTGAAACAGTAAATTTTTATGTGCCAAGTCATCTTTTGGGTCAAATTCATTTTTTTGAAACTATCAAAGTTTGACTCAATCAATAAGTAAATATGGGGCCTTAAGCCCATTTTTATGTAAAAATCCCGAGGAAATATACAATCATAAGCACTCGTCTTTACAAAATGTCATTGAGTGTTATTTTATGATACTTAAGATGAGATTCTCCATCTTGAAGCAAATGCCCACATATAAGTTTGAAACTCAAGTTGCTATTGTTTTAGCCTACTGTACACTTCACAACTTTATAAGAATGGAGGCGCAAATAGATGAAATATCTGATGATGAAACTATGGAGGCGCTGATAGAGGAAATATTTGAAGATGAGGATGATGATGTTCAGGTTAATGTGCCGCAGTCTCAGTCGCGACCAATTGATAATTTACATGATCATATTGCTAATTCTACATGGAATACAATTCCGCACCCTTGATATTGCATTTAGGTTTTTAACATGTTTGGATAACTGTAATAACTACTTCATTTTAATTCTCTTTTAGGATTTGGATAACTGTAATAACTTGTGCCAAGTATACATTACACATTGTACCACTTGTATATGTAGTCATGTATGAGATACAAGATCAGGGGTCACCTTGTGTATGTGGAAGGGGTCAAATGAATCTTTATACGGCTGGAACTTTAAAGAATTATGGACGTTCATTCTATAGATGTCTAGCTTGGGAGGTATACAATCCTTTGCATTAATAATTTTTTATACATACATGTTATAGTCACAGGGGCATTATAATAATATACAAGTGTTTGATGTTTTAGTCACATGCTCGTTCATTTATATGGCTGGATGACATGCACCAACGTGTGCAAATGGGTAGTCATGTGAATCAAGAGTTGGAGGATGTAGTTGCTATTATGCAAGTTCAACAAAATAGGCAAAACTACATTAGCTATGGTGGTTGTTGTCGTCTTACTATAACTGTATTATTTATGTTATTGCTCATATTGTTGTTATTGGTTATTGTGGCTGTTGACAAATAATGTAATATATTAGTTCAATTTTACTTAGATACTTTTATTGTGGTTGTTGACAAATGATGTAATATTTATGAAACTCATGTCTATAATATCTTAAAATTTATGTAATGTGTAATATCTTGAAAGTTTATTTCATTTCGATATTGAAACAATGTCTTTTAGAATTATCAAAACAATATCCAGAATTCATAGATTTTACAATTTATAATACATTCTATTGGTTTTTATAGATTACTTAAAAAATATTGTAAACTAAAACTTAATAAACTAAAATAAACTATAAAAATAAAAATATTAAAAGTTATATCAATGGTATAATAAAATTAATAAATAATAAAATTTTACTTTATATTTAGTAAAGTTATAAATTTTCAAACCATATAAAACAATGTACTCTTACATATAAATAATAATGGATTGATAAAAACAAATTGAAAACACTTTTTACCAAACAAATTTCATGTTTTTGTTTCAGTAATTTTAGTTACAGTTTCACTTTGCCAAACATATTTTGTTCTCATATTTCTTGAAACGAAATACCTTACTAAACATGTTATACATGTTTTTGTTCCAAAATTCCCACTGCAAATTTTTATCGCCAAACATGTTTTCGTTTTCAACTCAGAACACCCCATAACAAAACACTTATTCTATTTTAGGCTAAAACAAAACGTCTGAGAACATAACACGTACCAAACGAGCCCTTAGTTACTAACTTATTTTTAAAGTCCATACTTCAGTCAGTTCGTCTAAAGTCCATATTTCAGCTTGTTTAAAGTCCATATTTCAACGCTTTTTAAGCCCGCATCCGTGTCCATTCCAAGCCTGCAATCGAAGGCTAAAGGCTGGGCTTGGACTTCTTAAAGTGTGTTTAAGCCCAGCTTGGCCTGACCTATTTAAAATTGAAAGCATGTGGACTCGGGCCTAGGTTTCAAAATTTTTGGGCCTAGCCGGTCTTTAGAGCCAACAAATGATGGTCCAGTGATATTGTCATGATGAAGATCTTGGACTCCAAATCTAAAACAAAATTTTATTTTTTAGGTAAATGTAGTTGATTATTTGAATTTTTTTTATATTAATTTTGTGATAAATTGATCATGTTAGAAGCCTAATGTTATTGATTAATTATTGAAATATATTTATTTTATTGTTTGTTACATATTATTTATTATATTTACAATGTATGATATATAAAAATATAATAAGACGGGTATAACCGTATAACTGAAATTGTTAACCCACCGAACATATTATTCGTATTTTTTAATTTTTTAGCCCAATTTTTATAACGTACTTTTAAAAAAAAAAAAAAAATCAAATTAGACTCATATATTTTCATATTCGTGAAACCCGAAGCCGGGATCAGGTCGCACCGGTCAAACGCAAACCCTTAATTTAGCGTTCTGAACTTCGAATCGCTCGCGTCGCCACCAGAAACAACCAACGTCCTTCCTTCAACACCTCTCTCTCGGTGTTCCTTTGTTCGAAGTTGATCGTATCGCTGCCGTCAATCAGTCGCCGTTTTGCTGCAATCTTCTGTCACGTTCTCACAACTCATCGCCTCCGCAGTAGCCTTTTTCACTCACCAATAACCAGCGCCGGAGTCTGGTTTTGCTGCCATCTTCATCGCGGCGCTAACATTGGCCGGAGCCGCCGCTTCACCAGCCGCATTCGCAAGGGATTACCGCCATAGGGGCCTCTAATTAGATAGATGCATCTTTTCCTTTGGCTTCATTGAGTTTTGGGTCATCAAAATGCTGCTTTCAAAATTGAAACATTTCAAGGTAACTTACAGTGCAGTTGATATTTCGTATAGCTTCCTTCGCAAATCATTCTGCGACATTGTGTCACTCAACAGTGATGACCCAACTACCAGCATGACTGAGTCTCCTGAGCTTCCGGGTTGGATTAAGTTTTCCGAGACAGAGAATAACCCAGTTACTACTAATGGTAGTAATCATCCAGAGGATGAGGATTTTTTGCTTCCTACAATTTCTCACTGGGTTGAGAATCACAAGTTTCAGGATCAAAAGTTCCCCAATTCTTCCGAAGGTATATTAAGTGATAGTGTCATCAACAATGATGTCGATAAAATTAGTAAAATTCTAAGTAAGCCGTTTCGTTCTCCTGATGATGTTTTGCAAGGTTTAAATGGTTGTGCTAGTGTTGATGTATCAGAAAGTCTAGTTCAGCAACTATTGAAACGATTTAGTAACCAATGGATATCAGCTTTTGGGTTTTTCAAGTGGGCTAAATTGCAAATGGGGTTCAACCATCCACCAGATTCATATAACTCTATGGTGGATATATTGGGGAAATCGAAGAAATTTGAGCTCATGTGGGAGTTGATGGAAGAAATGGATGAACTAGGAGGTTGTATTACGTTGGTCACTATGACTAAGGTTATGAGAAGACTTGCAAGGAGTGGTAGGTATGAAGATGCAATAGAGGCATTTAGAAAGATGGAGCAATTTGGTGTGATGAAGGACGTTGCGGCAGTTAATGCACTTATGGATGCATTAGTGAAGGAGCAGAGTGTTGAGCATGCTCAAAATGTGTTCATAGAGTTCAAGAATTACATACCTCCAAATCCTCATACTTTTAATATATTAATACACGGTTGGTGCAAAGTTAGGCAAATGGACAGAGCTAGGAAGACTATGGAAGAGATGGAAAATCATGGGTTCCATCCCGATGTATTGTCTTATACTTGTTTCATTGAAGCCTATTGTCGCGATAAAGATTTTCGCAAAGTTGATGCTGTACTGGAGGAAATGCAACAAAAGGGTTGCCCTCCAAATGCTGTGACTTATACTATTGTACTGCATGCATTTGGGAAGGCAAAGGAAATTAATAAAGCAATTGAGGTTTACAAGAAGATGAAGCGGGACGGTTGCATTCTTGATTCTTGGTCTTATAGCTCTTTGATTTACATTCTAAGTAGTGCTGGTAGGCTTAGGGATGCTTGTGACATATTTGAGGATATGCCAAATCATGGGGTTACTCCTGATATCTTGACATATAATACCATGATCACTGCTGCTTGTAACCATTCGCGAGAAGAGGATGCTTTGAAGCTGCTTCAGAGAATGGAAGAGAGCCATTGCAAGCCTGATCTCAAGACTTATCATCCCTTGTTGAAAATGTGCTGCAGAAAGAAAAGAATCAAGGTGCTATCCTTCTTGTTAAGCCACATGTTAAAAAATGATGTTAGTCTTGAACTTGGGACTTACTCCCTGCTGGTGCAGGGGCTACGTAAGAGTGGCAAACTTGAACATGCTTGTTCTTATTTCGAGGAAATGGTGTCGAGAGGATTTATTCCCAGGGTTTCCACATACGAGATGCTAATAGAAGAACTTGCAAGAAAAGGCATGGAAAAAGCAAAGAAACAGATTGAAGAGCTAATGTTGAGATCAAGGGGTTGAACAGGTTTAGCCCTCTGCAGTCAGTATGTTTTTCTCTTTATGTGCCTGAATTTGTTATATGCATTCTTGTTTGTCCCCATCTAATCATGTGTATCGAATGACTAGGAATACGGCAATGGCTTAAGTTATTTATGCTTTTTGAGAACATTCCCTTGTTTAATAATTCAAGAACCTTTGAGGGTGAATTTGCAACACATAAGTTCAAAAAGAAGATTCCCCTGGGGGGAATTCGCAGCAGTCAATATCGGACGCTCAAAAAGGACATTGGTCTTGTAATTGTGGAGTCCCATAAAACTGGGAGTTCATTATTCGTTGTTCTTGTGTTTGGTAGCTGCAAATCTGGGCCTAAAGCTTGATCGCAAGGGTAGTGATTGTCTGGAAAATGTGTTTTAAAACCAGTTCATGTATAGGTCTAGCTGCTATTACTGACATGCTGTTTTGCATAGACTTTGGGCCTTATCTATACAGATATTCATTCTCGTAGCAGCTTGTTTTTCTCTACTGCAGCCACTCATTGTTTTTGGGCTATTTACTTACTTGGTGGATTTGAGGATACACTAATACTTGTATCCTGAAAATGTTTTTGCCTTTGGCTTGTTTGTAATATTACCTTACTTACCCGGAGGAGAAAGAAATAAATCACACTTTAATTAACTCTTGAAATTTCTTATTTTTCAATGAGCATGCTTTAAGCGTGTTACTGAACCTAAGACTACTATTCTTTAGTTTGTGTTTTATCAGTCTTGCACTGTTCTTCCCTAGTTCTATATTGAGCAGCTGCAGTTCTCCGATGTCTTTCCATCGTTCAAATTCTAAATCAGAGCTGCTTTCTGAAGCAGTATGAAGTAGCTTTGCCATCATGCATCTGCGAACTTGATTTCAAAGTTTAAATGAACTCAATCATGTGAGAAGTGATTAGAAAGAATTGAAAATGTTGTTGAGACCAGAGATCGTGCTTGTTTTTGGCAAAAAACTGGGGAAAATGACATTGAGCCAACTTCAAGAGTGCTTGCATTTAGATGATAATTCTATAATGTGTTGTAGCAGGGATTGTCAAAGGAGTACTTTTTTTGCTATAATGCAACCAAAGCTAATGTCTTTGAGTCTTAGATATGTATATTTTCTCCTTTTAATTGTTTGCAAATGAGTTTTGTTTACCTGATTGTTAATATCCTCTATCTCCTTGTTTTCTTAATGGTTTGTGTGGAGAGGTTTCAAAATTTAGGTGCAAATTAGCATTCATGAGCTCCCATATAGAACATAGTGCAATCAAATATCAGTTGCGAGAGACAGGCAGAAATCCACATTTGGGTAGTTGTGAAACAGCTCTCTCTCTCTCTCTCTCTCTCACACACACACACACACACTGTCTGTCCATCCGTCTCTGCATTTGACTGGCAGTTTTGCTACCCAAAAAACAAGAAAATTTGTAGAAACTATACCAACTATAATTTGTTGTGTATACAACAAAAGCTTACTACTTGGGAGTGTAAAGCATATGGTCTTTAGCCTCATTGAGGCTTCAAAGAGTAAAGACTGCTTGATCTTGGCAGCTTGAATCAAAGCGTTTGCCACTATTGTGGTACTTGAATACATCTGTAGTCCAGCCCAAAAGAATGAAATTTCATTCTCAGCAACATCTTTAGATTTTGTCACGATTTTTTTTGACAGAATCCAAAGCTGAGCTTCTCTAATGCACTTCAGCTACCATTAACTTGTGATGGTAATGAATTTTTTTCTATATTAAAGACAATTAAAATTTTCAATAGTATCTAATATGACTTGACATGCTTAACACTGAAACATGCTGTATTTCCATTGGAGTTCCCAGTAGACAACTGTTTTCAAGTGTTTGCACTCAACAACTTAAAATTTCTTACTCTTTTTGACCTAATTGTTGTTTTAAACCTGCTCTGGCACTCAATACTTGACTTTCTTCACTAACATGACAGTTCTGGAACATTGGTTCTTTCTGGCAGGTGACTTTGTGCCTATTCATAAATTTTGTAGTTACAAGGGATTACAATGCTTAATTGAGAATGCATGGGTTTCACATAAGAGATGCTAGTAGAAGAACTTGCAAGAAAAGGCTTGGAAAAAAGCAAAGAAATGGATTGAAGAAATAATGTTACAGGCAAAGAAGCAAGGGAAAAATCAAGTCAACCTACCCGGATGCTTGTTGAGATCCAGGTTGAATAGGTCTATCGCGCTGCAGTCTGTATGTTTTTCTCTTTATGTGCCTTATTTTAGGCATATGCATTCTTGTTTGATCCCATTATGTTCTTTGCTTTGTAGTGATTGTTTCCTTTATTTAGGGTTCTCTAATTTTTAACTTTTTTTGCCTAGTCCCCTACTATCTAATTTGCTAATAGTTGTGAGAAAATTGACGAAAAATAAAGAGAGAAAAGTAGTTTTAAATACTATGTGTGGTTTTGATTTCAAGTCAATTAACTATTTGGGGTTTAGTTGAATGGATATTTTTGTATTTTCTGGTCTCATATAGTAAAATATCCAATTTCAAGATTTTAGTTTCTTTACTTTTATAAACATTTATTAGTAACTGAATGAATTAGTGTATGCTTCTCTGTCCTTATTTATTATTTCCAGAATAATATTCGGAACATATTTGTTATTCCTTGTCTAATTTTCCTTCTTGAGGTTTTCTGAGTTCTTGTATAATTTGTTTTAAAATGTTAGTTGGTGTATAGACAGTGATTTTCTTTTTTCAGCTGGTGAATACTTTGGAGGAATAGCTGCTTAGAGAAGGAGCCATGTACAATTAAGAAAAGCAAAACAGTTTGAGTGTCATCATAACCTGATTTATATGCTAATCAATCAAAATTATCCATCATTTCACACATGAAAACATGTCTCAGTGGAAATGAGAATTTCTCATTGCTTGTGTTTCCTAATCCTTTTATCTCACCTAAAGGCACTGAAAAATTAAGCAAAAATACGGAGCATGTCCGGCAAGGGAGAGACGATCTTGATAACCCTGAAGTTATTGTTAGCATATATGATACCACGATTTATGGTATAACTTACCATAATAGCAGAGATTTGACTATGCATATGTTAGCGTATATGATAACCATTATTTATGGAATGACTTACCATAATAGCAAAGATTTGACTATGCTATAGAATATGCCATAGAATATGCTTTAGAATAAGTTGTGATTTGATTTAGATTTGATTTAGTTTCCTTTCTTGTAATATGAGCATGTGCTCATTTTATCTATAAATACTAGAGTTGTGAATGAGTAATTTGTCTCATTCAAGCCTTTACGCAATTCTCTCCTTTCTCTTCTTTTTATCAGAGCTAACACCTTTCCACACCTTTCAGCAGCCTTGCTACTTGTGTGACAGCTACCTTAGGCTGTTTGTGACATCGTGTGACGTTACCTACACATGTTTTTTTGTGTTGCTGTTTTGTGGTCGAAAACAGGTATTTTTAAGTTTTACAATTTCTTTTTTACTCTTCTAGGGTGGGTAAATTGGGATAGTTGGTTTCCAACACCTAGAAGGGCTTGGGTAAAAAAAAAAATAGTCTACAAAGTGGTTCCGGATATTAAGAAGGAGGCTGTCTGGTTATATGAAAGCGGGCAGCGCTCCTTAAAAAATGTATGTATTTGGATTTTTTGGGAATGGTCTGAGGAGACATTGTTATTGTTTATTGTCTGAGGAGACCATTTGATTTTATTAACAGAATTTGTGGTGCTTTTGGAGTTTTTTATTGTCGTGTGATAGATTATGGCAGATTCAGGGTCTTCGACTGTTAATTCTCTTGGCTCAAGTTCTGTGGGTGGTGGTGCCATTTTTCCCACCAACTCATCAGAAAATCCAGGACTTTAAATCACCACAGTGAAGTTGGATGGTTCAAATTATTTGATTTGGGCACAGTCTGCCAAGATGTTCATTGGTGGCAAAGGCAAGATTTGCTATATTACTGGTTCTAATAAAGAGCCAGCTGAGTCAGAGAAGGCATATCCACAGTTGTTTACAGATAACGCTATGGTTATGTCTTGGCTAGTCAATTTGAGGCAACCAAACACAGCTGTTGGCTATATGTTTATGAAGACTGCTAAGTAAATTTGGGATTCAGTTCAACGCACTTATTCTTAGAGGTAGAATAATGCACGAATTTTCCAGTTGGGGCGAGATATCACCAGGATTTCTCAGGTTGACTTGACAGTTTCAGGTTACATCGCCAAGCTTCGTGCTATTTGGGAGGAGATGTCATATTATGATTCCTTCCACTCTTGGAAGGATCCAGATGATGCAGTTTATATGCAGGGATTGTGGAGAAGAATCGAGTGTTTCAGATTCTTGCCGAGTTGAACGACGAGTTTAAGTATGCTTGTGTTCATTTATTGAGCTTATCTTCATTCCCTACTCTTGAGGATGCATACTCATATGTGTTGTAAGATGAGAGCCGCCGGACTCATCCATTAGGTGTTGCTTCTATTGATCGTTCTGCTATGGCAGTTCGGGTTCCCAACCTTTCAGGAACTTCACCATCCCAGTCAGTTCAGAGCACTACCACTGGTCCTCCTCTGGGACGACAACGTGGATGGTGTGACCATTGTGGAAAAATTGGTCACATCAAATCTTGTTGTTATGCTCTACATGGACGTCCACCGCAACAGAAACAACAGCCTCGATCTTCTGCACATTCTGTTACATAACCAGTCTCGTTGTCAACTCCTGACAACCTTGCCTCTACATCTTCTGCCACAGTTACCTTGAATCAAGCTCATTTGGACAAGTTCAAGCAATTCTTCAACCAAATGGAGGCATCATCTCAACCAACCTCCACTTATGCCCACTCAGGTACTATTGCGTCTGCACATAGCGTATCTACATCTTCGACACCATGGATCATTGATTCTGGTGCTTTAGACAATATGACTGGTATGTCCTCACTCTTCCAATCTTATAGTATCTGCTCTGGCTAATGCAAGGTCCGCCTTAGGGATGGCTCTCCATCTTCCATTGCTGGGAAGGGTCACATATCAATTACTCCATTAACTTTGTCAGATACACTTCATGTTCCAAAGTTGATTACAAATCTTATTTCTGTTAGTAGCATTACCAAACAATTAAATTGTAATGTAACGTTCTTTCCCTCTCATTGTATTTTTCAGGATCTGGTGTCGAAACGGACGATTGGCAGTGGGCGTGAAATGGACGGTTTATACCTGTTGAATGCTCCTTTGTCACCTCAAGCATATTCAGCTTCATTTTCTAATATTGTTTCATCTAATAAAGCCCGGGTTATGTGTTGGCACATGCATTTAGGACATAATTCTTTCGGTTATTTGAAACATTTATTTTCTTCCTTATTTTGTAACGTGGCAGTGTCAGATTTATTCTGTGAGACATGTCATATGGCTAAACATGTTCGTTCCAATTATCCTGCTAGTAGTAATAAATCTGCTTTAACACCTTTTGATCTTGTTCATTCAGATGTGTGGGGTCCTTGCCCAGTTACTTATAGTCTTGAATTTCGATATTTCGTGTTGTTCATTGATGATCATAGTCTTGTTACATGGGTTTATCTAATGAAAACAAAAAATAAGGCATACACCATTTTTAAAAATTTTATGAGAATGGTTCAGACTCAATATGGTCGTACTATTAAAAAATTCAGATCTGATCAGGGTACAGAGTACACTTATGGGGAGGTACAATAGTTATGTACTGAATTTGGGATTGAGCATCAAATGGCTAATGTTAAAACTCTTCAACAGAATGGTCGTTCTGAGAGAAAGAATTGCCACATCCTTGACTTAGCCAGAGCACTCTACATTGGCATGAATGTTCCCCGGTTATTTTGGGGAGATGCAGTTCTTGCCACTGTTTACATCATTAATAGGACTCCTTCTAGGATTCTTAACTTTGCAGCCCCACTCTCAATCTTACATCCCAATTCATCTCTTTTTTTTATTCTACCGCGAGTCTTCGGGTGTGTGTGCTTTGTTCAGCAGTTGGGGTAGACTTGTACAAAGCTTGACCCCAAGGCTTTGAAGTGTGTGTTTTTGGGCTATTCTCACTCCCAAAAAGGTTATAGGTGTTACCATCCTCCCAGTCGTCGGCGGTTTATATCCATGGATGTTTCTTTCTTTGAACATACTCCATACTATAGTGGTTCAGTTGGTTCTCAGAGTGAATGGTTCCCATTGAATATAATGGATGATCATCTTCTTCCGTCTTCAACTCCTCTACCGTTACTTGTTTCGTCTTTTATGATTCCTCCTCCTGATAACCCTCCAGCAGGGGGAATTGTTCCTTTTTCACAGGTTTATAGTCGGAGACAAAGGTACATGCTTTTACTCCAACGATCGACTGCCGTGTTCCTTCGGCACCAGCTCTACCTTCTCAAGTTATTGTTTTGCTTGATGATCGCCCCATTGCTCTTCGAAAGGGTAAACGTTCTTGTACATACCCTATTTCTAATTTTGTTTCTGATTATGCTCTTTCACCCTCCTATCGGAGTTTTCTTGCTTCTGTTGCCTCGGTTCCTGTTCCTTCTAGTATTGCAGATGCACTAGCACAACCTCAATGGTGTGATGCTATGACAGAAGAACTACAAGCACTTGAGAAAAATCAGACTTGGGACATGGTTCCGCTTCTTATTGGACGAAAGGCTGTGGATTGTCGTTGGGTGTTTATAGTTAAGCATAATCCGGATGGGTCAGTTGCTCGTTACAAGGCCCGATTGGTTGCCAAGCGTTATGCTCAGACTTATGGCATAGATTATCAGGAGACTTTTTCCCTTGTTGCCAAGATGAATACCATCCGTGTATTATTTTCCGTTGCTGTAATTCGATCTTGGCCTCTATTTTAGTTAGATGTCAAGAATGCCTTTCTCAATGGTGATTTGCAGGAGGAGGTGTACATGGTTCCTCCTCCGGGCTTTCGTTCTCTTGCTCATTCTGGTATGGTATGTCGTCTTTGTCGTTCTCTGTATGGCCTCAAGCAGTCTCCTCGAGCTTGGTCTGATCGCTTTGACACTGTTATGCTCAAGTTTAGTTTCCATCAAAGTGCAGCTGATCATACCTTGTTTTTACGTCATTCAGGCGATAAGGCAGTTGCTCTCATTGTGTATGTCGATGATATTGTTCTCACCAGCGATGATACTACCGGAATTGATGAGGTTAAGAGCTATCTTGGCTGTCAGTTTGAGATTAAGGATCTTGGTCCCTTACGGTACTTCTTGGGCATTGGTGGCTCGCTCCAAGACTGTCATTTTCATCTCTCAACGCAAGTATGTTCTTGACTTACTTTTTGCTTCTGGTTAGCTTGGCGCTCATCCTGCTAATACTCTAATTGAGCAGAATCATCGATTGGCTGATTCTGAGGGGGAGTTGTTGTCAGATGTTGGTCAGTATCAATGACTTGTGGGGAAGCTCATCTATTTATCCATGACTCGACCTGACATTGCTTATGCCGTGAGTGTCGTGAGTCAATTCATGCACTCTCCTCGTGCCCCTCACCTTGATGCAGCTATTCGGATCCTTCGCTACTTAAAAGGGTGTCTAGATTTTGTTTGCCAATCATGGTCACTTACGTATTGAGGCTTGGACAAATGCTGATTATGCAGGATCAATTTCAGATAGGAGGTCAACTTCGGATTATTGTACCACTATTGGTGGTAACTTGGTTACTTGGTGCAGTAAGAAGCAGGATGTTGTCTCTCGATCTAGTGCAGAGGCAGAGTATAGGGCTATGGCTCTTGGGGTAGGTGAGTTGCTATGGCTGAAAACCTTGATGACAGACTTGTGCCTTCCAGTGTCGCTTCCATTCTCACTCTACTGCGACAACAAGTTTGCCATTAGCATAGCAGCAAATCCCGCTCAGCATGACAGAACTAAGCATATAGAGGTGGACCGTCACTTTATTCGAGAGAAGATCATCTCTGGTCAAATTTGCACTCCATTTGTCATAAGCTCTCAGCAGCTTGTAGACATTTTTACAAAGGGCGTCGGCAAGATTGTGTTTGAGAATGCATTGTCCAAGTTGGGCGTTTTAGAGCGTTTTAGATATCCACGCACCAACTTGAGGGGGAGTGTTAGCATATATGATACCACGATTTATGGTATGACTTACCATAATAGCAGAGATTTGATTATGCATATGTTAGCATATATGATAGCCACTAAATCAAGATAATTGGCTACATGTCTTGCAGACATTAATGTTCTTGGGTATGATTTGTTACATTGACTTCATTTCTTCTTTTACTAACTCTGCGGCTTACCCCTTACTTATAGAAGCATGTGCCTTCTTTTACTCTTTCAGATTTCAAGAGATGGTTCCCTTGAATGCTGCAATGTTTTGGGTGCAGAAGACAATGGGCTGGCTAGCTTTAATTATGAAAACACTAAACAATCTTCCTGGAACTAGTGGAGGTAGTGGGTGTTATACACCTCTCCCATCCCTGATCCAATTGTGGAATTAGATGCAGACTTTGAGGGAACAAACAGGTAGAAAGCCTCATCCTTCTTTCATCACCAATCGTTCCACACACACTGCAGCTGGTTAATGGATAATGACCCATCAATTCCGCAACTCTGCCTTGATCGCGATTCAGTGTTTGTGACTGGGTGATTTTTGGACATAGGCCTAGTGAATCGTATGTGGGTTACAGGTTAAGTGATTATTCCGGTGGTTATTGGCCTAGTGACTATTCTAGTGGTCAAAGACCGAGTGACTATTCCAGTGGTCACAGACACAGTACCTATTCCAGGTGGGATTATCCAAAGATGATTATGGGCTAGGGGATTCTGCTAGCACTATGTTATTCTCACCAATGTTTAATGGTGAATATGCAACCTTGGAAGACAGATATAGAAGGTGAAGGCATTCAAGGTACTGCTTTGTTGCAAGTATACAAATGGTTGGCATTTTCTCACAGTATGAGTCCCCTGTGTTTTGAGGGAATATGTTCGGAACATGAAAGTATCCTGTTTTGGCAGAGGATTAATGGCTTACCTCAGAAATAAGGTATCCTTTTTATGCGAGCCATGGTAGTTTTAAATATTTGTATGTACATCTAAATTGGAGATAATAAACTAAGCAAAAAACAGAAGTCTGTTGGTTTCATAGGCATCCATTTCTGTCAGCTTCTTGTTGCATCAAACAAGCTTTTGCTTTGTCTGCGGTCATTTGACTTGGGGACAGAAGGATGGCGATGAGCTATGTCGGAACTGTGATGTCATGGAGATACTTTGAAAGACTAGGTTTCCATGAATTCATGGAATGGACAATGAGAAATCCCTAGAAACAATCCTTGAACACGAGTATGACCTTTGCTTATCAGCTATCAATTAACTTCTGCTTCTCCAACCCAAAAAAGTAAAAAGTAGCATGAGTTCAGAGAAAAAAATAAATCAACTTCTGCTGTGTCAAAGAAATGAAAGGGGCTAAAATTTCAGTAGTCTATGAGAAATTCAAAACATGTCCACTTGAATTTAATATGAGTTCTTAATTATAGGTTTCTCATTGTCTGATGGGAATGGGTTCCTTGCATGTAAATGAATCTATATGTTTTTACAGCTAAGATAAAGGGCTAGCCCAGTGTACGCAGCGATGTTTTCAGTTTCAAACCATGAATTCCAGGTCACAATGGAGTAAAAAATTTTCCTTTGCGCCAAGGCGCGCCCTCAATAAATGCTTAAACTTTCCATTGTGCCAAGGAGCCAAAGTTCTCTGATCATAGACCGGTTTATAACATATTTTGTGCTGAGGTTGAGTCAATCAATTGTCGGTCGAGGAAAAACATGAATTGTTCTAATTCTAAGAGGAGGTGGACGAGCTGTTGCTTCTCACATGGATACACTTATACTGTACTTTGTCCTTTTTGAAGGTTGGGAGAATTGTTAAAAGTTGTATTTGAGTATCTCTCTGTGTGTGTGTGTGTGTGGAGTGGAACACACACACTAACTAACAAGTTTATTATAAATTTGTTGCCCTTTTCTGAGTGCTCCTTTTATTTGTTCTTTGAAGGACCATACAGTTAGAATTGGGGATGCATCAGATTAGGGACTAATCGTTCCTTCCCCGTAGTTGGTGAGCTCAATGTAACTTCTTAGTTGCAATGACTTGTGACTTGTGTGTTGTAGCCAAATGTAGAGTCCTGTTAAATTTATTTCGTTTTTTTGGTGGTAAGTAAGCAATGCACACACCAATTTGCCCCACTTGGGACTTTGGGGAGGTGGAGGTGATACCACCTACGTCAAGTGTGTCTTGGGTCTTCAATCAGTCTGTCGGTCTCCTGTTGATATTTCTGTTTTGCGTTTGTGTTTTTATGCCTCCTGAATTGTGGGTGAAGTACATAAAAAATTAAGCATGCATGGGGCTCTTGCTTGGGTAATTCTCAGACTCAACAATGCGGCTGCGATCCACGGATATGGGCAAGAGACGCCCTTTGGTATCTCATTAGGAGCTAGTTCATATCTCTTTTGTTTATTCAGGGTGTTGCTGTCTAAATCTATTTTATACCAACTGCAAAACAGAATAGGTACTGGCATATTGTCTGAAATGCTGCTTAAATTACACCTCCTTTCATTTTTTCTTAACCAGATCTCGTGTGTTCTCCCAATTTACTAATTTGGTCGCTGCTTGCAGTCAGAATTGCTTTGAAGAAATTCACACTTGAAAGGATGATGGAGACATTCTGTTGCCCACAAACAAACAAAGGTTGGTCTTTTTTTTTTTTTTTTTTTTGTCTGTCGTCTAATTTTTTCCCCTATGGTACTGAGCGGGTGTAGATATTTGTAGTGTTTCTGGCTAAACTACACGCAACCCAAATTTGGTGTACTTGCCACCAGTTTTTTGTTAACAAATAAAATCATTTTGAGCATATTCAATTACAAAATTAACAAACTCCTACTCTATAGTGTCCCATAGACTGTACAAGCATATAAACTAATTCTGTTTTGAAGGAGTAGCTCGAATCAATCACATTCCGCGAAGGGGATAATGTGGACTGAGTAATTCAAAAATTGTGTACTTATTTGTTTTGGAAGCACTTGAATGATGATGTGTTTTTGTTTTGGTGGAGAGAGAAGTAAAGATTTGATGTATACTCATTACAAGAGTGAAAGAAAGATAAAAAATCACTTACTCAAAAAAAAAAAAAAAAAAAAAAAAAGAGGTTGAAATTTACATGCCCATTTGTGTTCTGATGTTACTAATGGTATCACAGTAAAATGGTTGTTTTCTTGATTATCTCCCCCATCCACTATTCTTTGCATTCTTTATGATGTTGATGATGATGTTGTGTTATTTGTTATTCTTTTTACCTAAAATTTATTAATCACCAATCAGAATTGGCAGTATACATCTGAATGTGAAAATGTTGTGTTAAAGACACCATGATTTCTCAATGATCTGATTTTGTTTGACACCATCATATATACACTACTTAACTAGGAAATCTAGCATAATAGTATAATATTGTGTAGCATGTAATAGCATACTTAGTGTTTCTTCTAAAAGTTATGTTTTGATTTGTATTTTTTGCATTCCTGATGAAACTGGAGCTACGAGACAGTGTCCTGTCCCTTCCAGTTAGTGATGTACCTTACAAAAACGTTGTCATGTTCAGCCTCATATCACAATATTTTGTAACGAACATCACTAACTGGAAGGGTCAGAACTACTGTTTCGCAAGTTATATGAGAGCTTCTTTTGCTCTGTTGCTACTTGGTGCTGATGATTTTACTGGAAAAAGGTTGTTTAATTGATTATCTATCACTTCATGTCTATTTTTACACAAAAATATTGAGTACAACCATTATAATAAATGAACCAATTAATGGTTAAAGTTGAAAATCCAGTCGAGAGAGATAGTCATCCCTACTTAGTATATTACAAACTGGTTAAAGTTTAAAATCCAGTAACAAGAGAGAAAAAAAAAAAGAAAAAAAGAAAAAAAGAGAAGGTCTTTTCATAATCATGAAAATATTAGTCTAAAATGGCCCTTGAAGCATAATCTCAAAGTTCCTTATTTCCTTTGTCATAGTATATGGACATCAAAACTGGCAGTTTGTTTCACTCACTCAGTCTGCAGGGTAGTAATGGTGGAAGATCTGCTCGAGAGAACCTTTGATATTGCTCTGATAGTATTTGGGGTTGTTCTGCAGCATCCACCAACAAGGGAAGCTCCAGCATCAAACCACTTGCCCACGTACGACACGAAATCTTCATCTGCAACTCCGGTTGTTTGCTGCAACAAAAAACACTACACATTTCAACTTTCCGGTGGTATGTAAATTCAAATCTCTATTGCTGCTCGACTTAGCACTTAGCACTAAACGCATAACAATATGCTTCAAATGTCTAGATTGCTATATATATATATTGTTTCTTCATTCATAATCATATAATTTCTAAGCAGATAGTTGTATACAAGTGATTGGACATTAGAAACAACTGAAAGTTTGCCTGCAACACAAGGAGCTGACTTACCACCCACTCCTTTCGATCAGCATTATAAGTCTCCCCACTGTTCGGATATACGAGTATCGGCTTACTAGTAACCTGCAAGATACATTAGTCATAAAAGCAATAAGAGCTTCAGCATAGGTAAATAAAAATTATACCAAAGCATTTGAAAAACGATTCCTCATATGCGTAGAGCACAAAAATGGGAGCGAAGGGAATTACAAAGCTAAAGAACATATATATATATAGATTGAGAGACTATATCTACAAGTACAATATGATATATAGAAGGAATAAACATAGCGAGTTCTTTCAGAATTTAACCCTCATCAAATAGAAGCAACCAATACTACCAAAAGCTTAGCTGTAGTGGTGGTATCTCTACTTTATGAGTGGAAGATTGAGGGCTCAAGTCTCGTATGGGGCAATAGTGGGTGTGTCTAAAATATAAAAAATAAAAAATAAATCAAAGTATAAAATATAAAACAATAGGATCATACCTTCCGAATCGATTGAATAAGTCCATGAATAAATCTAGGAGGGGTGCAGTTTATTCCAACAGCAACAACTTGCTTACATGAATGGGCTATTGAAGCACACTCCAACAAGGAATCACCACTGACAATGTTGGTCCCATCCTTTGAACTAAAAGAAAACCAGGCTGGAATCTTTATGTCATCTTCTTCAAGGAGCTCAGCATAGGCCTGCAACAAAACCAAGCAAATAGCATTAAGAAGGGTGCCAGAAAGAGTCAGAGACGCCACCAAAAAATCGACACACTCAACATTCCCGGTTAGATCTACACCCTAATTCACAGAAGAATGATTCGTCTCAGTAGATCAACCACAAGAAGCAGAATAAATAAACAATACCTTTGCTTCCAACCTGTTTGGAGTCGTTTCAAATGCAATTAGGTCAGCACCGGATTCAGCTAGAATTTGAACCCTTCTCCTGTGAAAATCTTTCAAAGTTTCCAAAGTGACAGAATCACCATAGATCCCACTGTAAATGACGACAAAATCAGTACGTGTGTACATTCAAGATATATGGATATTGACGAATCTTTTTTTGCACCTATGACATTTTTTAGGCCAAATATCTAGGTGGAATCAAAAGGAGTGGCAATGTTTACACCATGCATCACCTGAAAATAAATACCCTTAATCTCTCCTTCACACTTTTGTGTGCATCTACAAATACATATTGAAATAAATCATTTCATAGAGGTATATGCATTTACAGTCCTCTTGAGACAAATTCTTTTTAATATTTCTTTACGATATGAATAAAACTTGTGGGAACTACAACAGACATGCAGTTGAAAAATTAAAGTTTGCTTATTCGAGACGGCCAAGAAAGTAAAAATTTTGTCAAGACAGAGAACCTCTGCATACAAGCAAACAAATGAAGACTGTAATATGTGCAAACACGCTAAGAAACACTACATATACTCACCTATATTCCGAACCATCAGCCAGATAAGCCCCATAACTGCCCACGGAGGCTGCAATTAAGACAGGGCGCTGCTTCATAATATTTCCGTTTTCTAAGACATCCCAGGAAATTTTGGCGCCCCGGTCACGATAAATATCCAGTGCCTCTCGTGCTATTTCAACACTTCTGCGGAGCAGGGCCTCACCTTCTTCTCTAGATAAGCCCTTAGCCTCAAAACCCTGAAGAGTAGCCTGTACCGTGAACAAAATAAATTAAAAAAATTTCTTTCTATTGAAAAAATCATCTATCTACAAGGTACTATTAGTTAGATACAGAAATATATAACTAAAGGAACTACATAATTCACCTGATAAGATGCAGATATTATAATATTTGCACCAGCTTCAAGGTAGTCTAGGTGTACCTATCATAATATAAGTGAGCCAATCAGCAAAAGAAATGCAAAAATAAAAAATTACAAGGGAACAATATTAATAGTGCATTTGGAGTGAACTTGAAATGGATGCTTTAATGCTCCCCGATGGCTCATTGTACATGTATTAATTTGCCCCGCAATATTTCCAGTACCAATCTCAACATGCTCAGTGATGGGGGGCTTTTTGATCATCAGGATACATGAATAATTTCAATAGAAACATGTACTAGTCCGCCAATATGAAGCTGTGTAAGTAGTGTTTAAATATCATCACAGAGAGTCGAGTAAATTTTCTATTTAATGTCTCCCAGGAAGAAGCTGGCGACTTATGTTGATGGCCAAGGAACTTGCTACAGCAAATTCGACTCGCAAAAACCAGGAAAACAAGATACAAAAACTTTGGTGTCTACAAACACTCATTGTTCCTTGAATTTGATTCCAGGGGGACTGAAAATGCTCCAAGATATTGGTAAATGTTTTTACCAAGAAGCATTACAAACTTCAAAAGTGAGAAGATGTTGTCAAAGCGATCAACACAGCAGGTGCACTGAATATAACTCGATGAACCAACCACCTTTTAACGAGAAATTTGCCGTATTATTTAAAGTCCGACCATAATTATTTTATTTATTTCAGGATATTTCATGGAGGTTTATCCATGTTAGAACAAGAAGTTAAAAATTATGAAGATGTAAAATGTCTTTCAGCTCGTTCCAATTCCAAAACATCTTATTTCAGGATATTTCATGGAGGTTTATCCATGTTTTCCCCCATGTTCGACAGGTCCTTGTACGGCTAAAACATCTTACCTTTTTCAAATTGATTTTAAAGCATGTTCGTTCCTAACAAGAATCACCCCTATTTCTATATATATATATATATATATTTACTTATTTATATATTTTGCCTAACAATGGTTAGAGGGGTTAGGGGATTAGAGAGGAGGGGGAGAGTGTAAGACCCAAACACGGGCTCCCGGCCACACAACGGGAAGCAACCCGTCACGAGGGGTATACGGCACTTGCATTCCTCTGTAGGATTATGATAATTAATACAACATGCAAGATCACTCGCAAAGTACATGCATCAATAATAGTGGAGAAAATGAAGGCTAAAACAATGGAACACAAATAATATTTTCCATTCAACTTTAAAAACTAACTGTGTGTGGCTTGAACTCTGAGCCAAATTGAAGAAAATGAATTTAAAGATATTTTAAAAAAATAATAATAATCGTCAGAACTTAATTAGAGAGAGAGAGAGATGCTTTGATTATTTTAGTATTTTTTAGAAAAAAAAAAAAAAAAAATTTAAAAAAATTGAGTGGGAGCATTTCTTAAATTTTAACAAAAAACCAAAAAAAAAAAAAAAAAAAAAAAAAAAATCAGCAAGGGCGGGTCCTATGGTAGGTCCGTCCCGTCTCCAACCATAACGTTCCATGCTCATTCATGCCATTCATATAAATTTAAATTGTCTATGCAAACCAACTTAAATAAATAAATACAGTAAATAGAGAGGGCTCAATTGACAGTCTCTCCATCCAAAAACTTTATTTTAAAAATAAATAAGTTTTTAATAAACCTTTTTCTAATGTTATCTTATTGATTAAATCAAAGTAATATTAAAAATTGCAGCAGTCAGTGGACATTTGTCATGAAACATGGGAATCCCTCAGTAGAAACACATGAGGGGGGGAAAATGGGCTCTGCCACGTTGCTGTCAGGAGATAATACATGACAAATATATATGACAGCAATGAGAGTGACTTCATTTAAAAAATGCATCCCACTAAAAAAACATAAACAAAAATTACATAATTTTTGGTGTTTTTATTTTTATCGGATATTATATAGCAATAAATAATGAAAAAATCATTGTAAAACGGAGCCAAAAAATTGTGTAAGGTGAGCAACAGTGTAATTTTAAAAATAATTTTAGTGAAGATGGTAGTGTAATTTTGTAGGTATATATATAAAAAAATAAAAAATAAAAATAAAAATTAACAGATATACTACTAAAAAAAAAAATTTCTTCTAAATGGCTCCGTTCCATCCTGAAACTGGACCTATGCATGAAAAAACACGTTTGATGATAACAAAAATATTCGTTTTTATAGTGCCGAAACTTTTCATGAACAATGATTAAAAGTCCAAATACTAATTTAGTGTTTTTACATTTTTTTTTTCTTACGAAACATACTTTTATATTTTTCCTTCTAAAATTTTTACTACAAATAGACATTACTGCTTGTTTCCGATTACCATTCGAAACACGGAAAAATATTTTCCAATAATAATAATAGAGAAGAGTCGAATTGAAGAGAACCTAATGCTTAGGAAGCAGGGTTGAGTCCAATACTCAGATTCAAATCCATATACAATACTTGATGAACACACAACAATCAAAAGACAAACTTACAAAAATTAAAATATGAAAAGAGAGAATCTTCATGATGTATATATATCTAAACAAAAATTGAAACGGTATTAATGAAAAACAGAGTAATTCAAAGTTCACAAGGGGATTTTATTTTACTAAAAGGAATCAAAATGCCTATAAGGATTAATATATTCCAAAACAGAAACAGATAAAGGAAAATGAATTATTATTATTTTTTTAAGAAAAAAAAAGCAGAATCAGTAGAGAAGATTTAAGATAATAATACACATATTTGATGAATACCCAACAATCAAAAGATTAATTTACAAAAATTAAAATATGAAACAATCATGATGAATATGTATAAACAAAAATTGAAATGGTATTAATGATAAACAGAGTATCTCAAAAGTTATAGATTCATGTATTCAAAAACAGAAACAGAGAAAGGAAAATGAATTATTATTATTTGAAAAAAAAAAGCGCAGAATCAGTGGAGAAGATTTAATATATATGTGTGTGTGTGGGATAGATTACCCTTCTGACTAGGTGAGGGGAACTGATGAGGCATTTGGCGCTCCAGAGAGGGTCATTGAGGTTAGCACCGTGCCGTTCGAGTTCGGTGGCGAAGCCGCCGTCGATGACAGCATAGCCACCGCACTGGCGGAGGAAATCAGTCATGAATGTCATGGGTTCGTCTGTTTGGATCCCCATCTAGCGGAGGAGTTTGGAGGTGGTGGTGGTGGTGGTGGTGGGCCTCAATTTTCCGGAAGCAAGGGGCAGTTTCAGTACGCAAGGTAAGCAATGCTGGAAGTACTTGAAACGGAAGGTATGTTATGCTGGACAATGCTCCTTTGGGCACGTATATATAGATATATATATAACAACTCATGTTATGTTGGACAATGGCACACGTGTATATATATATATATATATTTTCTGTTATTAATACTGTTTAATATAACACCACACAGCAAGGAAATAGAAATACTATACCTAAGTTACCAAAAATACCCCTATTTTATAAGATTTAGAAGTCAATTGAGGAGACAAAGGAGAAGGAAAAATGTGAGACTAAGAGAAGCTTGACGTGGTAAAAGAAGCATGGCCATTGCGAAAATCAATTTGTTGTTTTTTCTTGGTCATGGGTCAAAAGTAATGTGATACATTAACGATATCCATATCTAATTGGTTTTATATTCAAAGCATTTCATGTTGAATGGAAAATTTTGAAATCACATTCAAATTCATGTAACTATTTAAGAACTCATCTAACATCTCACTTTTTGATTAGGTAATAAATTAAATGGGTCTGTCAAATGTGTTGATCAAATTTGACCAGAATTAATTATCATCTTTGATCACCAATAAGGGCGGAGTTGGCATATGTCCAGGGCACATGCTCCTGTCGTGGCCCTACATACTATAATATTTAGTAAATATTTGATTTATTTGTATATATATATATATATATATATATATATATATAGAAATTTCAATATAATACCCCTAAAATTTGTAATTTTTAAAATTATCTCTTAATTTTTTTTCGTTTCACTCTTCAAATTTCTTTGATTTCCTTCCCCCCCCTATTCGAACCTAAATTTTTTCTTTTCAAAGTTCTTATTTTTCTTTCCTACTTAAAATCATTTTTCTTCCTTCTTTTTTCTTTCCAACTTCTTAAATTATTCTTTTTGTATTTACGTAAGATGTATGTAATGTATTTCTCCAATAAGATAATTTAAAGGGGAATTCATCAGAAGATGAATCTCATGATCTACTCCGTCTCATCAGACATTCCATTTTATATAGCCAAACAGATTTGAGACCCATATAAAAAAGGATAAAATACAATAAACCTCTTTGAGATTTGGCCAATTTGCACTTGAATGAAATTTATGCAATTTTTCCCAACCTCTTTCCATGGAGTTTGACCCGTTTCGACAAGTACACCTTCCATACAAAATTATGTCAGTACCGTATATATATATATTTTTTCTGGTTATAATGACCAAATTATCTATTAACTAAGCTTGAACAAAAAAGTATAATACTTGTCTACTCATTGGTGAGTAGAGAGTTTATGCTTAGCCATGATGTGCAAGTGTCCATAAAATAAAAAATAATAAAAATTAAAATAACTGAATGCTTTCTGGTCAACAAAAAATGATGCAAATCAAATCCTAATTTAACTCTATCCCTCTCTTTCTCTCTCTCTAACTATTATGCTAAAATCATAATTTGCTAATACCAAAAGCTTTGAGTTTTTGGTTTAATGTGTAATCCTTACATATACTTATCAATTATTTTTATCTAAAGTACACCCAATTGTATAAAATTGGATTTACATGATTTGATAGATGATTTGTTGATTGTAGGATAGATTGTTATTACTTATTTCTTGTCTTTTTTTTTTTTTTTTTGGAAAATAAATATCTATAAATAATTATATTTATAGTTGTTCTTTCTATTCATTATCCACAACTTTATTTGTATCTTGTAATATTATTTTATTTAAGAATTTTAGCTTAAAATGTTTTTTCCCGACTAGATCCCCTTCTCATTCACTCCTTGGATAAAAAGAGAAATCCAAAGTTGCGTAAGAGGGGGAGATTTGGTTTAATCCTGATAACCTCTCAAATCTTTTAATTTTTATTATTTTATATTATACAAACATGTGTTTTACTAATTTTGCGCCATATCAAAGTAATTATGAACTTCCTATTCACCAGTGAGTAGACAAATATTATCCAACAAAAAATACTCTTCTCTCTACCCACCCTTCGCTACCACCATTTCCCTTTACCTCTTTTGAGAAATCTCACTTATATATCCTATTTCTCTCTCTCTTCACCCACTCTCCACTACCACCATTTCCGTTTACGTTTTTTCTTTTTTTTTTTCTTTTTTTCTTTTTATTTAGAAATCTCACTTATATATATATATATATATATATTTAAGGAAGGGGATATTCTCACTCCACTTTTCTCCAAATCCCACTTTACTTTTCTGCAATTGCACTCCATTTATATATATATATATATATATATATATATATATATAAGAAAATGACAAGAAGGCTCTCAAATTTATTAATGCAATATTCCTTAATTTATAATATCATAACTACCCTTTATATAACTTTAATTTTTGATTTTTTTTTAATATATATATATATATATATATTCCTTTCTATTTGTTTTTCCCAGAGGTTATCTCAAATAAAATAATTTATTTCATACTAATAATTTTATTTTTGACAGTCAAAAGAAATAATTTATCCTATAGTAACTTTTTTTTTTGGTACAATCAAAATAAAAAGCGAGGGTGAATAGTGAATACCACCTCCTTACAATAATATGGAGATAAAGGGTAAAATTACCCCCAAAAAGTAGCCTCCAAGGATAGGTCATTGTAACTGAGGGGAGGTCATTATATTTTATCCATATAAAAATTGTTAGAACTTAAAATGATAAGTGAGTTATGGACTAGTGATGTCAAATAATGTTAAGGGAAAGTGCAAAAAAAATCTTCAAAGCTATTTCTCATTTGTAAATAACCCTTTGAATTATAAATTAACTCATGAATTATTGATTTATTAATTAAAGATAAACCTATCACAAAATACTATTTTACCCCTTTTCATTAAATTTGTCATTTCTTATTAAATTATTCTTATTATCTTTTTTCTTATATAAATATTAATTATACCAGCTACCTTAATTTTATTATTAATATCAATTTATCATAGAAATGGAAGAAGAAAAATAGGTATGTAACTACAATTATCTAAAATAATTAACTTATTATTAAAATTTTATTATTTATAATAAAACTTATTATACCCAATTTAAACCTTTTTACCTCTGAAAAATACATTCTTTTTCATACAATATATTGATGAAAAATTAATAAATTACTTAAATAAAAGATACCTTCTTTTTCATGTAATATATTCATGAACAATTAAGAAATAAATTAAATTTTTCTAAAATTTTATATTTAAGATTTTTATTAAATGAAGAATATGTCAATAAATTAGTTATAATTTTTTTTCAAAATTTATTTCAATAAGAAAAATAGATTAAGTGTAATTTAATAAGAAAGAGTATTATACTCCTTCAACGAAATATAATATAGGCATTAGGGTATTTTACAAAAAAAAAAAAAAAAGAAAGAAGGAAAAAACTAAAAAACAACATTAGTTCCCCACAAATATATAAAAAATGCGCTACAAACATGTCTTCGCACACTACATAACATTAATTACTAAAATTCTTAATAGTGAGATTTATTTTTCTTGCTGAGGAAAAAAACCCTAATCTCCTAACGTAGATATGCTTTTCCGGCAAGACAGAATAGAAAGTGGTTAGTTCTGGAGGAGCCATTTTTTATTTTTTCGTTTTAAGCCTAGTGATATTTTTTGCGCCTCTGATCAGTTTAGTTTGAATTTTTATGGTGGAGATTTTTATCATGGGCATAAAAAGAAGGGCAGGCATACTCTACCTTTTTACGTTTGCATTCTAATCTTAAATGAAATGGTAATTTTAACTCTAATTTTATAAGTAAATAATGATTATTTTTTAAATAACACAACTGCTCTTTCAGGGCAATTACGTACTCTTATTACAGGTGGGGTGTTGTTGTTCAAGTTTACAAATTTGAGGGGACAATTGAATCACACTCTTCCTAAATTGTATCTACCTATCTTTATTGCAAACTTGAGGGAGTGTGAGTGCAAATTACCCTAATAAAAAATAATTTGTTGAATATATAAATTGCCTCTTTTGATTTGACAAAAAAAAAAAAAAACTATTAAAAAAATTATCTCTTTTGATTGGAAAAAATTCTTCAAAATATATATTTATTGAAGAAATTATCTCTTTTGTCCAGATCTAAAAAAAAGAGGATTCAAGAAAAAATTATCTCTATTGAATAAATTATCACTTTTGATAAGAAAAAAAAAAGAAACTTATTTCTATTGAATAAATTATTTCTTTTGTCAAAAACCATAAAAAATTATCAAAAAGAAAAAAAGAGTTATCTCTTTTGTCACTGGGAAAAAAAAAACATGAAAATAAGTTAACTTTATTGAATAAATTATTTGTTTTGATTGTACAAAAAAAAAAAAAATAATAAATAAATAAATAAATAAAGTCACTATTGAATAATTGATCTCTTTTGACTGCTAAAAATAAAATTATTAATATAGAATAAATCATTTTGTTTGAGAGGACATTCGGAAAAAAAAAAAAATAGAAATAGTAAAAGAAGTAAAGAAGGTAAAAAAAGAAGTTAAAGTTATGTCATTATAAAATAAAGGATCATGCATTAATGAATTCAAAGACGTTGTTGTCATTTCCTTAAAAAAAAAAAAAAAAAGAGATAATTTAATGGAGAATTCATTAGAAGAGTAAAAATCATGGTTAAAATCGATTTGATCAAATATTCTATTTCATTTTATGTTTTATACTCCACACTACAATTATTGTAAGTAGAAGGTCATCAGGGTAATTTGACATGGATTTCCCCAGTTAATTAAAAAAGGTTTCGATATTTTATATATATATGTATATATTTTAAAAAGTTTGGATTTCATGGTCATATTGTAGATCTCTCTCATTCCTTTCTAGGTAATTACCACTATCATTTTCCAAACGACGACATCATCAATGTGATGTGATGTGATGAGAAGATAAGAGCGCACTATACATGAATGTACCTGGTCGGTTTCATGACCTTATTCTTTGAATGTTTGAACATGGACTTGTAGTCGCGCTTGCTACTTTGAAACATAAATTTGTCTTACAACTTGACTTCTACATCATCCGGCGTTGAACATTCTGCCACATGTTTGAAATAA